CAATATACGTAGGGCAATACGTAGATGTTCGTGGATCGCTTAAAGAATTTCACTAATGTTCAGGACTTGACTATGGCTTCATTTGATGTAGAAAATTTGTTAACCAATATACCTCTCCATGAAACTATCGATATCTGCCAAGTTCTCGTTTAAAAGTGTCAGTGACTGTGTCATGGGTTTGAACCCCAACTGCTATAAATCTCTTCTTGAATTATCTGTTTTAAACTCAATTTTTGTATTTGTTGGCAAATTTTATATTCAAACTGATGGCTTGGGCATGGGTCTTCCTCTCAGCTTTACTATTGCAAACATTTTCATTTGTTTTCACGAGGCTACATGGCTGGCCAATTATCCTCTTGATTTTAAGCCCCAAGCCAGGCTTACCGGACAACGCGATCAGGTCGGTGGCGAAGAGCTTCCTCACCGACAACGTTTTTCCGGGCGGCCGCCGAGACTTGAACCGGTACGCCGATGATCCTTTTTCAATTTTCAATCATCTCTCTCATGTAGGCCTTTTCTTTGATTATCTTAATCTCGAGCACAAGTCCATCAAATTTAGATGGAGCTTAAATCAAACAATATTTTATCTTTTCTTGATTGCAATGTCACAAAATCAAATGGCCGTTTTTAGACCTCTGTTTGCCGAAAATCGACGTTTACTGGTTTAAGCAGCAGTTTCATTAGCTTTTGTTCATTTCGTTTCAAATTAAATGGTATTCAAACGTTAATAAACCCGGTCTTTCGTATCTGCTCAACTTTCTATATCATGCACTCTCAAATAGAATTTTTACGCAGTACGATTTCACTTAATGGGTTTCCGTGACAATTGGTGTATACTCAAATTAGGAAATTTTTATCTAAGCAATATTCTGAGGCTGTTCCCGAACGTGACGATAGGAATGCTGTTTATTGTTCATTTCCTTACATTGGTCCCGCTTCGGAGTCTACGGCTAAAGAACTGAAAGGTTTGTTGTCTAAATACCTCCCAAATGTAATTCTTCATGTATTGCTGGTGAATAATGTTAAAATCAGTTCTTTTTCATTTATAAAGATACACTCCTTGTTCCTATGCGATTGTCCTTAGTTTAGCAATATAGTTGTGCGCTATGCGCATCTGCGTATGTCGGTATGACATATCACAACTTTTATACTAGGCTGACTGAGCATAAGGAAATAGTTTTAGAACATTAAACCTGCTTGTGCATCCCCCCATTCAGCAGTACGCGTCCATGCCGAGGAGTGCAACATGCCAGTGTCCGATAGTGATTTTCAAATTTTAGCCTCTATGCACGGTGTTTCCGACCTGCGAATTTTAGATTCCTTTTATATTTTTAAACAAAAGCTGTTTTAAATGCCGCCTACGGTTCATTTCCCCTCGAAATTGTAAATAGGTTTGTCAGCCCATATTTGCTTCATTCATGTTTGTTTCTCATTTGACGATTTATGCTTCAATGTGAATTTACTGCTAATTGCTTGTACCTGTGTTTTAGCTTTTGAACTGATGATGTAGCTGGACTCCGAAACGTTTTCATTTTTAAGAAATGGTTAATTTTCGGTCTATATTCTTTGCTTTAAAATTTTTGATAAACATGCGTTTTAAGCCGTCAAGGGATTTTAATACATGTTTCTCCATTCACTTAAAGGTAAACGAATTTACCACAGCTTTTCCGACTTAGGGTGCATGCATCACCTTAGTTGCACAAAGTATATGATGTGAATTATTTTAAAGGATTTGAGCGTATTTAGCTTGAATTTGAAGGACCACGCATCGCGCAGTGAATGTTTAAGGGTGACATTTAATGCAGTCAAAAATTAAGGCAGTTTTGGAGGCGTTTTATTGGCGATGGGAGGTGTTGGTGGCCACCCAAAAATAACCAATGGCTACAGGGCCCACTTAGAGAAATGAGTGTTTTATTGTTCAAATATTGATAGAACATTTTGTCTCTGCGTAGATCATTCTGAGTCACTTTAGCCCAACAAAAGGGAGCATCAGTGCCGCGGCCGCTGGTTACAATTGAGCTGTGGGTAAGAAATTATGTCACTATTGGGACAATGGTACATATTCATTTCTGAGCGTCAGCGTGAAGGCTCAGCGCTTCTGTCATAGCCACTTGGAATAAAGTGTCTTTTATCGAGCGAAAGACTTCCCAATTAATGTATATAAATGCTGATTGTTTTTTCAAAGGTATTTCTGACGGGCTTGGCGGACAACTCGATCAGGTCGGTGGCAAAGGGCTGCCTCACCGACAACGTCTTTCCGGGCGGCCGCCGAGACTTGAAACATTAACAGCAAAATAAGAGACAAGCAGCACTAGAAAGGCTTGGATCTTGGAAAGGCAGAAGGGGATCTAGCAGTATATATTATATTTCGTGTATGTGGAGGAGAGAAGCGATGAATAAAGTTAGGGCGTCATTGCACCCATTGATGAATCTTGCTCTGGTTTCGAAAATTAATAAAGTTCAAAATTATTCTCGCCTCCTTGCCTGATTTCTCAACTGCATGTATGTAAGTGTTTTTAGAACCCATCAAGTTAGTAATACATGATGATTTGAGTGGAGAGTGTTTTTTTGCTGTGATTGTGAACGTGTGGTTTTGGTTTGGAGAATATGCAGTAATTTTAATTGTCGTTTATTTGATTATGTCAATTTGGGTATGATAAGTGTAGCGTTATAGTGTCAGATGGTCGCTTACTAACTTGAATTCTACAGCGGAGAAACAACGAGCGAGCAAGCAGCCGAGAAGCATGCAAAAAAACACGCAAAATCAAAGAGGCAAACATGAAAATAAAAGATCGGTAAACAGAGACAAAAAAAACGCGAGGAGATACAACCCCGACAGCACAAGCAAACTAAACACACAGCCTGAAAAAGCGAAAAAAAAGAACAAAACTACTATGCCAAAAAATGCAAAAATGGTCACCCCCGAACAAACAACAAAACACAAATAAACACAAAGGCCAGCACGCCCCAATTAAACACTCCCACAGGCCAGCCAAGCCGTGACAGACCCACCGGGCAAAACCCAGAAAAGAAAACGAAACTGAAAAACCCCCAAAAACCCCAATCCGCACCACAGCGAGGCCTAGGACAACCACTAACCAAGACTCTAGCACACAGAGGAGCAAACCGGGGAGAACTGCTCGGAGGAGTGCACTGAAGAAAACAATTAAGAAAATTAGTAAGATAAATAGAAAGGGACAAAGAGAGAAGCAAAAATAACAGGCGAAAAAAATACCCCAGATACTCTCAAAGCATAACCTGAAAGCGTTACGTGAGCCCGGTACACTGGACAGGTACACGTACACAAAATGAAAAACAAAGACAGAAACAGCAAAAGGGAAAAAAACAAAAAAAGAAGAAAAAATAAGAAGAAGATGAATGACACTGACAATTAAAAAAAACGAAGGAAAAAAAAAAAAAAATAAGACGACGCCCAGTAATTCCAACGGATTTGCTACTAAAAACAACAGTACGCAATATCTGCGGCATATTTCTTACTCGCAAATCATGCATTACGCAATATAATCCTTCTAATTACGCAATATAATCGTTCTAAGAACAATAACACGACTTTATTCAGACAAAATTTAAATGATGATTCTCTCGGCTGACCTATAGTAGAACTTTAACAAGTCATATTTTAATGCCCGCACCACGCAGCTCTATAGGTGCGCTCCGAAAGTGGGTCATTGTCTAAACAGTGATGCACTTTTTGTCCTCGTGTGGGTTATCCTCACCCAGTTTGGCCCGGCAACATGGAGTATCAGTAATATGTACGCTTTTTGCTTCTGCTGAGGGTAAGAAAATGTGAAACTATTTGGACTACTTGAGCCTATAATTTTCCGAGGCCCCTGAGTTGAGATTTCCCCCAGCGCCCCCTGAACTGAATTCCCCACTTTACGTCCTAACTGGAATATTTTTCACACACACGCACACATTATAATTGCTATCAAAACAACCACCATATGTGCCCCCATACTGTTTGTCGTGTTGTAAATATAGTTATACGTGATATATATTAGTTATTATATCATTATTAATAATTATTATATCAATTGATTATCTTGATCCACAAATAAACAACATAGATATTTTGTAAACATTTGTATATCTAAAGAATACTGCAAAAACCTTAAGAAATTAATAAGACGTAATTGTATCATCACAAATTAGGAGACTTTCCACGCATTGCAGACAAGAATAATCGTGCTGGCTCTAGTCAAATGATGAGGGCAACTGTATTGAGAAGCTGTTAGATGTACGGCCAGCCATATATTGGCAAGAGGAACACCGCAGCAGTACAACGTGCGCGTATGCGTGTTTCTAGAAGTGCACCAACTCTCAAGCCAATAGTAAAACCATTCATGTATTTTCATCATTTTCTCTGTTTTATTGGACCGCGCACCGAGGTCCAATGTAATTTAATCTACTTAATACAGCTACAGCTATTTAATATATTTAATACAATAGAGGCTACAATCCGATAACGCAATAACAGTGGTTGAAAGCCTCATGGTTAAAACGGCGAAAACTGTTAAGCAGATTTACGAACTGACCGTGAAATCTTATGCGTCTCCGTTAAAAGATAGAAACACAGAGAAAAAATCATTTTCCAGTGCCCACACAGGAAGTGGTTACGCATTAGGCATACAGACCAAACAGTGTCTAAACTATATCCACGCATCTTACGCAAATTTGAGCGTGTATAAATAAAATATGCTAACTGCTACAAAATTCCTAAATAGGGTGCCTAAATATTCCTTCCCCGGTTATTATCACAGAATGTTCATCCAAAATTGCTGGGCGTTTAGACCAGAATGAATTGCGTCAATATTTTCAATCGAGATGCGATCCTGCGACGTTCGGTGTCAAATGACAAGAATGAAAAATTCAAGGGAACGTTTTGCGCGGAAATCCTGCCTTGCATCTGGGATCAAGATCGTCAGGCTGTCATTTCAGAAACCCAGACGTGTGAGTATCAAGGCTATGTAGAAGTACACCTAATATCTGTGGCAGAGTACGGGGTAACTAAATGCTTTCGTGACGGCGGTGCGCACGATGATGTTGTCAGAAGACAGCATCGCTGCGGGACCGTCCGCGTTATGGAAAGCGTTGAGATCTCCGCTTGCTGAGGCGCAGTTAGAGATGGGTTTGCCGTTGGGCCAGACGTAGGCTGTGCCGTAGTTGTAGGCGCTGATCCATGCCACGAGTTCAGGCATTTGACCGTTGGACGTACCAAACGCTGTACAAGACAATAACCTTAATTGTGAATAACTGCTTTAATACCGGAAACATGTATGATTTTTTTAATAATATTAATATTATTATACTTATATTGCCTAAATAATAATAAATAATTACTTGCAGGCAAGTAAGAATACTTAAATTTTTCGATTGCAAACGGTATGAATTTACTTAAATTATATACCGTAAATACGATAAAAACCCTAAGGCGGGCGAACGTAGAATGAAGAGGCGAATGTAAAACTCCGAAGTTTTCTGAGATACATTTAATCATGAGCATTTTTCGAAATTTTGCCAATTTGCGTAGCCTCAAACGCATACTGGTGCACGTGAGTCAAGTACAGTGGCGGAAATGGCTATACAACCACCCAGTTTACTCGAAATATTTTTTCTTGCATAAAAATACTGGATTCTAATTATACGAGGTTAAACTACGTTTAAAAACGGTTCCAACGCTATACGAAATGAATCATTTTATCAAAATATATGGGAAGAAATGATGAAAATTAGAAAAACCTAGGTGGAAATGATTATAAGACCAAGATATGTTTTTCCTTTTGTGGGTCCTCTTTTGAGGAATTTTATCCCAGAAACGAAGAATAGCAATGGTCAGGTCACTCACAGATTGGAACTGGTGCCCATTTTGGTAAACATATCATTCGACATGATGCCCCATACTTTTTCAATGGGGCATTCAGAGCTGGGGCATTTTTCAATTCAGAGCTTGGCGCTGGTGACGGCAATAGGGTAATATTCTGCTTATGTTATTAAACCACTTGTTAGCTGGCTTCGAAGTGTGAATCGAAGCATTGTCTTGCTGTAAAACATATGATCCTTCTTGTTTCTCTTCGGCAAAAGGGAGCAGATTTTGAAATAGCGTGTGCTTGTATGCCTCGAAATCTTGACTCCCTAGTAAATTAGCTGGAGTTGATTTTCCCTTTCGGATTAACGCCTCCTCAAACCATGACCGAATCACGAACCAGCACTAGATTGCCGCTAGGAAGAGAATTCAGGCTCACGGTCCAGATGGTGACAATATCACGGTCCAATCTGGACCATCAAGATTTAACTTTTTTTCATCACCGAACAAATTCCCTCACTGATAAGCACATTTTTTCAGCGAGTATTAGTTGGTTGATAATATTCTTTTGTTTAAGCATAGGGGAATTTTTCCACTTCATGTACTTGAATTTCTTCGAGTCATGCAATATCTGACGGATGCGTCGTGCTGTCACATCAACTCCAGTGGCCAATTTTATAGAAGTAGATGCAGCGCTAGTTTTAGAAGCCTTTGAAAACAGTCGCCTATGATCCCAGTCAGTTAATTTTGGGGTTGGTCCAAAATCCGTAGCCGTCCAGATTTGCAAAAATGAATGCACAACAGTTTTTGAGCGTTTATTTACTTTGCGATGTCCCGTTGGCTTCTACCGCACTTCGCAAAGGTCAAAAATCTGCGCCTACTTGGCCTCTGTGAGTACTGTCCCCTTTGGTTAGCATCTTTTTTGCTTCGAAAAAAAAAATACAAATTAGGACACCGAACTACACCAGAAGTACACCAGGAGTACCCTGAATGGCGAAAATCATGATATTCTTCATGTTGCTGTACTTTTTAACTTGGAAATATTGCTAAAAGATACTAAAATGAAGAAAACCCCATCTTGGTCTTATAACCATTTCCACCTAGGTTTTTTTATAAATTTCATCATTTCTACTCATATATTTAAAATAAAAGAATTTTTTCGTAAAGTGTTGGAATCGTTTTTAAACGTAGTTTAGTCTGTATAATTAAAATCCATTATTTTTCTAAACAAGAAAAAATATTTAAAAAAACTGGGTGTTCGTATAGCCATTTCCGCCACTGTATACCATAGCAACTTGCGCGGCATTTACGGCTGAGCAGATAAATGTAAACTAAATTCTTAAAAATGTAACCCTTGATTGGAATGAAGATTGCAATTATAATAATATTACCTATATGTATCGTAATGAGAATGGCGGCTTGATAAATTGTACTATTCTACTCAGCGGGTGAAGACTTCGATTGTTTTAATCATTTAAAATGAAAACCATCAAACAAAACTATTACATATAGAAATTTATTATAAGACTCGTGTACGGTACATGTAAGCAGCGTAGTCAGAACACGTCTCACCTAAGACGAGCTGCAGGGCCTTGTCTCTGACTTGCTTCGTCTTGATGACGAGAGGCTCGCCGCCCTCTGCCCTGCACAGCCGCTGCTGGTTGGCAAGAGACCCGTTACTTGTGCGGGTTTTGGTGATGAACACGTCCCTGATGACCGTGTCTGCCAGATGTTTAATTAGTTCAGAATACATTTTGTACGACGCATATTTGTTGTACTGTATAATCAGAAATGTTAGTTGAATAGCTTAGGAGGTTACATCCGAATAGCAAACGAAAAATGGCTCCAAAGTCCCAAGCTGACTGTGTCGGGATAGTGCGTCTCTTGCAACCCTCTTCGATAGACTCGCTATAGTTGGGTTAAAGTTATTTTGGGTCAGCTTGGCCACTCGATCCCACTCAGCGACTAATCAGAGTCGCCTTGCCGACTTTATAGTGTTCTGAGAGTATGGCAAGAGTGGGTTTGGCCATGCCTACCAGCCTATGAACTGCCCTGAGGCTGCTCATTAAGGCCCTGGTTGAAGGTCGCGAGGCTTCTAACAGGCTTGGCTCTTCCCTAAGCGTTTCTTCACAAATTAGAATGGACTTTACTCCACTCGTAAATGAGATGGCGATATGGATTTTTCCATGCTTACCCAGCTATTTATTTATAAGCGGCGACCAGTAACAAAAAATATGTAAACTTCATATTAAAAGAGTTTTAATGAGAGGAAATTTCAAGAAACTTTGAATATTATTGTTCATCAAGTCTGCGACTTTTTTACTTTTTTCGAGAAGTAAAAAGGTTGTAATTTTTATTTTCCATTGAATGGTATACTCGGCATTCCTTGATCAGCCTCCTTGTTGTAAATATTCTTTCTCAAAAAATAGTTATGATTGAGCCTGCTGATACGCGGAGGGAAAATCCTGCATACTAGCTGCTCAAATGGAGGCGTTTTGGAAAGTTTGAGGGAAAAGAGACGTCGTAAATTACTCGACTGTCAGCTCACGACGGGCGGTATGGTGCCGGGAACTTAATGAGAGGCGAAGAATAATACGTGGCCAGTGGTCGGCCTAGTCCAATTAGTTATAGCCGACCGTTGGCCATTCCTCGGCCACCTCAAAGCGACCAGTTTCCGCGAGAAAGGGGCTGGCTGGGATATCATATTACAAAGAGTACAAGCTCGAGGGTAGCGACTGGCCGAGCTTCGGGCAGATCAAGGATTTTACACGATGGTCGCGAAAACCTCGCTCTCAGACTTCGCACGGCTTTCAAACAGGGCCTTAAGCCCACAGGGGAATGCAGTAGGCAGAAGCTTCCCGGATGTTCATGGGCGAGCTTGTCTGCACCTGCATAACTAAATACCTGTATATGCCAGATTCCAGTCAGTTTTGTTATTCGTTAGCATTTGTTCTCGATTGCTTAAATTTACGATTAAAACAATCACATGAACTTCATATCTGCATTTCTTTCATTTTAATATTCCAGAATAAAAAAAAATCGAGTAATGTTCAATTCGAATTTAATGGTGTCACTGGTACTATTTTCGCGGCGAGTGGCAACTTATATCATTATCAGGTATATCATGTTAGGAAAGAAACATCATGATGCGTTAGGCAGAAAATAATGTCTCAGAATTTCTAGAATTCAAAACAAGAACCAACATCAGGGTCCACGACTATTAACTAAAAAAACTGCGTTGCAACTCAGCGAAGCGACAACACTTCTCGCTTCGAGTCACCGACATGGGAACATCGTTGACGCTCCGAGTATGAACGAGTTCAAGAACAGACTAGATAAAGCTATGAATAAATATATGTCCAGACTTGAAATGACTTCCCCCAGGTTTGATATGGTGCTAAGTTAGTAACTACTTCAAACTATCGTCAGTTTTGAAAAATCCGGTCGAAGGACCTGTTTTTAGATCTCCTGTGAGCTATTCACGAAAAGTACGTGAATCGGTGGCAGGCCACATCAGGCATGTAATATCTTCTGTTATTCCCTCGTATAACACAATTTGGGGAAACACTACTTTAAAAAATTGGTTTTTGGAAGGCTGAGGAAAAGTCGCGCTAATGTACAGTTTTCCCGAATAATGAAATACGAACAAATCTTTCATAGCAGCGAAGAATCTGAATTGATGATGCGTATGGCTTGTCAATAACAGGAAAGCATTTCATTTTAACTATGTATTTTTTATGAACTATAGTATTTATTTAAGAAACTGAAAAACAATCTCCTGCATAGTCAAGAGAGGGAAATGTTATTTAGTGTCCATAGTGTCATCAGTTAGTTCAAAAAATTATGAGGAGCAAACGCGTCGCCGTGCGTGCTGCGATGAGGCTCAGGCTATATACATCGTCTGGTCCCGCGTTCGAGAGATGGCAGATCGAAGAGCATCGTTCTTTCACCGGACTGCAGGTGAGTAAGGTGTAATTTAATCTCATATTAACTCTTCACTGCTTACCGATGTCGATTGCACTGCTATACTGTTCTCTATGGCTGTAAATGCTACCCAATGAGGTGGCATAGAGTGGAAAGCCGTTATTAGTTCATTCAAAACAATCGATAAATAATAGCATCATCGTTTAATAATTTTCGTCCATTTCCCGGTGGTTTGGTCAATTTCGATGAGGCAGCCTTCCTCAGAGCATAAACTATACAACACTGAAATTGTTTCGTTTGCCACTAGTTTGATATCGTTAAATTTTTGCATTATTTCTTCGGTCGAAAGGAAAAATGTTTTTTCCACTAGCATTATTACAGAAACAGGCATTAAGGGGAGCATGTCGGTAAAAATACTTTTCTACTTACGAACGGATCATTATGAAATTTGGTACACATATGTAAAATATAAATCAATGACGTTCGAAAAAATGAAAGAAAACGTGAAATTCATACAAAGCGGCATGAGAAGGGGTACTGTAGAAATCTATCTTCTCTTAGGATTTCCAAGCTACAACATCGAGAGACGTATCATTCGATGCGTAAAGACCATATCTAGAGATAATCCTTTTATTTTTAGATTTTTTCATTTTTCTTTTAATTTTTCTGATTTTCTTATTTTTACCTTTCAATACATAATCAAAATAAAATACAAATTGAAAAAATGACCGAATGATCTAAAGAGATTTTATTTAAAAATCGAATGGTATATCATCTCTCAATGCTGCAGCTTGAAAATCATAGAAATCGAAAAAGTCAAAATTTTCTATTTTTGACCGACATGCTCCCCTTAATGGTAAATCACGTACAAATTCAATTGCCTCTTCCTTCCTCTCACTGCGAAGGAAGGGGGCAATTTTTTCTATCATTTTTAGACTCGGCCAGTCCTGCCCCGGATACGAGGACGATCCCCATGCATTGGAACCACTCGCGTAGTCGCAAGAGTCGGGACCAGACGCTCTTAGCTGTCTGACTTGTATTCGAAATGTTGACCAAAAAGCGGACAAGAGAAGCTGATTTACCTGCTCCCCGAGTCCTATAGGCGTTCCCTATTTCAAAGTCGCCTCCCCCGACTCTAAATTTTGTTAGGGAACTGCTGGCCGCCGCAGCACCGCCTTGCGGCCGGCTTTAGGTAAAACTGTGGGACCAACTTAACTGCGTCATTACTATTAACGACTTCAAATAATATTAGTTCTAAGCACAAATATACGTTCAAAAATTACTTTTTAAAAACAACACTTCTAAAGAATCCAGTGTCTACAATGGAAATGATGTACAATGAATTTCTCATTTTATTTACGAATGTTGAAAAAAAGTAATTTTTAAATTTTTTTATTATATAAAAATTTTTCAAAATTATTAATTCTGTTATTTGATTCATGCATTGCCTCCAACTTCACACAAGTGTGCAAAATTTCAGATCAATTGGACAGGTAGAAGTGTGTCAAATATCAGTTACAAGATTTGTAGCTGACAAAATTATTTTTTCAATTTTTTTAATATTGAAAACAAAATCTTTTCATTTTCAAAATCATTTATTATGTCACTTGATTCTTACATTGTCTCCAACTTTACGCAAGTGTGCAAAGTTTCAGTTCGATAGGATAAGTAGAAGTGTATTAAATGTCGATTACAAGATTTGTAGCAGACAGACAGACAGACAAACAAGAAGTGAAGTTAAAGAGAAGTGTTGTAAAAATTGAATTTTAAATTTAGGCATAAGTATTTAATGAGTTATGATAGCCAATTTACATATTCAATAAAAAATTAAAAATTGATACATATTGTATCGACTTTTAAATTTTTTTAATACATACCGTTACTATATATACGGTGTTATGTAACATACTGTTACATAACACTTTCGCAAGTTACACTCATCAACGTTCACCAATAGTTGGTCATATAAGTCGTTCAATTATGGAAAGGCTTATTATAAGGTCTTCAACAAATTTTCTCTAAGGTCCTCCTCATCGGGCCGAGATAATAAGATTATGATAATTCATGATGGACTCAAGCTTGTGTACTTCATCAGGTATATTCCTCCAAGTGAGGGTTGTAATTAACCCCTAAATAACGTGGATTACCTTCAGTGCATTAGCGACCTTCATGGAATCATACAGCTTAGAATAAAGCTGAACAGACTAAGACTATATAGCTGAACTTTTAGCTGACCGTGTGCTTGGTAATAGTTCAAGTATTTATCTGTTCAGGAAATGGTTGAGAAATGTCAGGAATAGATGAAAATGAAAGATTCAACTCCACTTGCTAAGATTTATCAAACAATGCTCATCAAATGGTATATTAGAATGAAAAAGATCCTTGTATACCCACCGTACTTGAAGAGCCCCACGACGCCGGTCTTGTTCTGTACTTCGGTCTCGCATTGACTTGCGTACGACAGGCTGCACGTAGACGAGAGCTTTTCGTACGTCGCCGCCGTGCACTGCTCCTGCACCAGGCATTTTGCACGGCAATCACCTGGAGGGAAATTTATTGTAAATTATTGGCTGAAATTTCAAATTAGGTGCCATTTTTAACAGACATGAAAACGGGGCATTGGGTTTGTCAATACAGAATAATGTTGAATCTAACTGAATCAGCTCACAAACCTGTTATGCAAATTTTACAGAAGACGTAGGGGAGAAGTTGGTGCTATATGTTGAGACTCAATACTTCTTTGCGTCCCTCCAGCCTCTTAAATCCTCTTCACACACAACTTAACTGACATAGAATCCAACTCACACAGAGCACAACCCATACAAAATACAACTCACACAGAACACAACTCACACAAAACACAACCCATACAAAACACAACCCATACAAAACACAACTCACACAGAGCAAAACCCATACAAAGTACAACTCACACAGAACACTACTCACACAAAACACAACCCATACAAAACAAAACCCATACAAAACACAACTCACACAGAGCACAACCCATACAAAATACAACTCACACAGAACACTACTCACACAAAACACAACCCATACAAAACACAACCCATACAAAACACAACTCACACAGAACACAACTCACACCGAACACAACTCACACAGCGAGTCCCCGACGTACGCCACATCAGGCGCGACGAAGTCGATGTCGTTCATCGCCACCTGAAAGCTGGGATACTTCCCAGCTGCCACCAGCTGCACCAGCTGCAGCAACTGCACTAGCAGCCAGCACACGGGAACCATATTTCTTCGTTTGTCAAATGTGCTAGGAAATGAAAATGGTCGATTGTTACTCAGGGTTATTCTAAAAGACTGACCCAATTTAATAAATCCGCATTTATTTAAGTTTAAACTCAAAATAAATAATTACACACCAATGGAAAGAAAAAGAAGCAAAGATCATTTTACAAATTGGTAATTGTTCAATATATCCCTCTTGTGCTGTACGGCAAGCATCTAAACGACAGCCAAACTCGTCCCACACACGAGAAAGCATATCTTCTGTTACTGAGTGCACCGTAGCAGAGATTCGGTTCTTCAGATCAACCAGAGTTGCTGGTAGGCTGCCATGGTGCAATTCTATAGTTAATATAGTAGAACATATTATTGTGAGATTTCGGATTGAAAAACGGACCCTTCCATAGCAAACTAGCACCAACCTTCACAAGACACGATCGCGTACTAAGTAAACAAAAGACACTAGACAGCATAAGCCAACAACAACAACAGTTCAACCGCCAAGAAATTTTATTTTTTTTCAAAATAAAAGTACGTCTTGAAATCAGATTTAAGTCATTAAATTCCTAAAAAACATTAAAAATTTATGTTTCCGCTTAGATGACAATGCTGGTAACATTGAGAAACTTCAAAGTATCTTTCTTACCTTGTATAATAGTTAAATAAATTATAATTTGGCAATTTAAGTCACTCAAAACCGCTTTCAGAACCGATCGGTCCCCTTAGTCTAATCAAATGTACGGCTTACAAAAGTCTCTTGTCATTGATTGCTAATGTGAAGAACCAGACATGTGTTTATGCTACTAATTTATCATAAAAGTTATGTCCCCATATTTCCATGCTTCGTTACAGGTGAAATTCATCACCTGAAATGAGAATTTTCAAATAAAACGTGTAAACTCACGTCACATGAATTCCCCCTTGACAAGTATGTAACGAAGTCTTTCTGTGAAAACTTTTCTATGAGTTACAGCCATAAGAAAATAATATAGAATGAAATTATTGCGCCGCAATTATGTTTGTTGATATTCAATATTAAAAAGTATAATTATTCAATTTTATAAAATTTAATACGCATTGAAGCATATTTTAAGTCTAGAATGGCCCACAAAACGTTTCTAAAAATACTTGTTTAATGACGTATCGCGTGTGACGTCACCGCAAGCTCCCAACTCTCTTGTTGTCATAACCGGTAGCCGATGCAACCTACGGGAGTAAGAAAGATATTTTACTGTTTAATTATTTTTTTTTTTGAGAATCACGATTCGTGTACGTTGTATTGTATTGCTCAGCCAACTCGGAGAAAATGGTGACTCGCACCGACGGCTCCAGCACTTCGACATCGACACTGTATAGTAAACTTCAATTTAAAAATTAAATCGAAAAAAATTAAATATTGGATTATTTATTTGAATGTAAATTTATCTTTCCTATAAGAATTTTAGGTGATTATTGACTTTAATCTAAAATTAAACTATTTAAATTCCAAACGTTGGTCGGGCAGAAGTCCTGTCTCCTGTTACAACCTTCCCCCGCCCCCTGGGGGTGTAGTGGGAACCAGAAGCGGGGGCCCATCGCCATGGCCGATAAGTGCCGCCAATACTAGAATTGCACCTTGCTGGCAGAGGCAGAGGTAGATCTTCGTTTCCTATACGTTCTACCCAATAGAAAGTAAGTGGCTTATTCAGAGTGTCAAGATGTCTATGGGGCGAAGCTCCGTCCTGTTGGAAAATAAAGTCTTGCGAATCTTCTATAACTTGAGGGAACGCAGCCATTGTTACAGTTCCAACATGTCCAGGTAACTGATCAAAGTCACAGTTCTTTCGGCAAAAAGAATGGTCCATAACCCCTGATTGAGATATGACACAGAACACGTTTAGGTTTGACAAGTCTTTTTCATGCTGTACTGTAACCTGTGTATTTTGTGGACCCCATATCATATGCGTACAATGTGTCTGTTGAGTTTCCCACTACGCTGTACGCGCTGTACGATACGCTGTAGAAATCCGTCATCCTCCATCATGTGTAGCATTTCATCACAAAATTCAATTCTCTTCCTTGTCATTAAGTTATTGAGCCTGTACAGTGTACAAGTTGTAATCTATAGCACTTCTACAGTAAACGTTTTCGCAGAACATTCAATACAATTGATGGGTGTAATTAAGCCAAGCTCTCTACTAGCTCTATTGGTTGATTTACGCGAATAAAACTTTCTTCATTCGTCTTACGTCATTCTCAGACACGGGCGGCGACCCTGAGCTTTTTCTTTTACGCGCACTTCCACTTTGCTCAAACTGCGTAAACCACCAGCTATTACTTATGATTGTCGGTGGTTCAGAGCCGTATTTGAGACGAAATGCCCGCTGCACTGTAACTTGCGACTCGCTTTTAGCAAACTCAACAGCGCCGAAAACCTTGCGCTCCACAGGAGCATCTCACTCACAAGTGACAGCTAGTGAGACACAGAGGCGGCTGGCCGGCGCCAGAACTCCAGCGGCCGTCCCTGCAGCTGCCGTCGCCGCCGCGGCCCAGATCCGCGTTGGCATTGATCAAAAATTTTAATGTCTCTTACCATCGATGTATAAAATATTTATTTTGAATTCATATTCAACTAAATACGGATTTATTAAATTGGGTCAATCTTATAGAATAACCCTGGTTATTGGTAAAAAAAATACATTGGAAATACATCACAATAAATACATCAATCAGTCATCACGTGTCACACTAGAACCTAGACCCGTTATGTGCCTATAAGTACGCGTAGCGGCCTACGTACTCGTATCGGCCTAATTAAGTACACGCAGCGGCCGAGGTGCTCGTAACGGCATAAGTACACGTAGCGGCCTAAATACTCGTAGCGGCCTAAGTACACGTAGCGGCCTAAATACACGTAGCGGACAAAGTGCACGTAGCGGCCTAAGTACGCGTAGCGGCCTAAGTGCTCGTAGCGGCCAAATTGTACACGACAGTGATTGACTGATAGAGTTATAGTCTCTTGCTTATTTCTGACGGGACGGCTCCTGGATGTCGCATCAAGTCTTCAAGTTATACTTGGTTAAAGAATAAGAATATTAAGGAGTAAAATAAGCTGCGGCCAGTGTCCCCATGAGCTGCATTGGAGAAACGAGCGCAAATGAATTTCACGTTCAATGAAGTTACGTGGGCGAATTTCTGTTCATAATTGTCAATGCAAAATATTATTCAAGGTACTCAGATGAATATTTACTCGCAATTGTGAATATAAAATATTATTTGGTGAACCTGTTTGTATAAAAATAGAAGATTCAAACGAGTTGCTGTTGCAATCAAGGATTGTGTGCACCAATCACACGGTGAACGCCGTTTATGTGACAAAAATAAGTACAAAAAACTGCTGAGCGCAGATTTGGTAACGAGAGCACCGAGTGAGCGAACGTCGAGCTCTGAGAACAATTGAGCGCAGTTCAGGTAACGAGAGCACCGAGTGAGCGCACGTCGAGCACTGAGCACCACTTCTTATATGGTACCTCAAAGCTCGGTTGAGCTCTAAAAGCTCTAAAAGCATTTGCTGTCTTGCCCACGGAATGTGGTATTTATGAACACGATTGACGATTTGTAGATTATGTTAATCTGTAAATTGAACTTAGCGAGTTCAATAAGGAATTTAAAGTGGTTCCTGTGAGAGTAGCACTTTTGAAATGGGTTTGATAATTTAATAAAATATTTCATGATTGACAATTTTTCCTTCGGAGCACCACTCTGGGTTTTAACATTCTTCACGAACTGTCTTCGGATGATTTTTAAAAAACTTCCACTCCTTAAATCATTTTCCAAGATTTTTGAGAACGACCTCACAGCGATCCAATACCTCCATTACTGATGATTTGGTTGTGTGATGGTTTTAACACTGGAATGAAGAATACGTTGACGACGAACTAAGTGCTACAATAAAGAATTTCATCTATAAAATGCTAAGTGCATTCGCAGTGAAACCTTGAAGATCAACCGCACTTAGTGGCACTTAGTGACCGCGATGGCCCATACGGTGGAACATGATTGCTTGTCGTGACAGAGTGAGTAGCAATCCGTAGAGTTACGGTGATTGCTCACTGACGTTGGATGATTGCCTGTCGTGACAGAGTGAGCAGCAATCATTAGAACGCGATGATTGCCCCTTGGGTCGGATGATTGCCTGTCGTGACAGAGTGAGCAGAAAACATTAGAACGCCATGATTGCCCACTGGTCGGAACAGGATTGCCTATCGTGACAGAGTGAGCCGCAATCATTAGAACGCGATGATTGCCCCCTTGATCGGATGATTGCCTGTCGTGACAGAGTGAGCAGCAATCATTCGAATGCGATGATTGCCCACTGGTCGATGATTGCCTATCGTGACAGAGTGAGCCGCAATCATTAGAACGCGATGATTGCCCACTGGGTAGGATGATTGCCTGTCTGTACAGAGTGAGCTACAATCATTGGAGCGCATGGGGCAGGCCTATCAAGCGTCATGTCGCGCCACCGTCGTACCCAAGACTTGCATCAAACAAGACGGCATATAAAATGGAAAACAACTTTCGCTTTGGACGATAACCAAGTGAGTGGTGTAGTTTGGATAACTTTAGAAAGCTACATGGAAGAGGTAGTTATTCTATAAGTGTTTCACATACTAGAGCAGCAATATTTAGGAATGACGGACCGTCATGGATGTCGAGAATACTGCGTATATCTGACTAGGACTAGCGTCATCATCCCATAACCTGTATAATAATTGGAATCGTACGTGCCTGGCTTGGGCAGGCATTCACTACACACCATGCAGATATGGTGGCAAAAAAAACTCACCCCTGCCATACCATCAAACTTTTCACCTGTTGACAGTCATATTGAAAATGCACAATGTGTACTTCACATCCTTTCAAGAACTTCATAAATTTAACTTGAAAAGCAACACTTGAACAGCTCATATGCCAGCCAGAAGTTGTGATCGCCCTCTACGCCATCATCTGTGGAGCAGCAACTC